GTAACCCACCAATTTTCCATTACTTATTTCAGCAGGAGACATAGCAGGATAACGACTGCTATTTCTGGGGGAGGAAAAAGGCCCAGCAATCTGTTTTTCTGATTGGTTGTTGTTTTAGTTTAGTTTTGGTTTTGGTTTTGATTTGTTGTGTTTTGTTTTGAAACCTCGCAAGTGGCTGAGGAGCTAAGCAGGAACTAGAGTAGTATCCCTGACCTGAAAAGGGGAAGGATGGAAGCACCATGGACTATAGCCACATTCTTATGCTTCCACTGTCTTCGCCCCACTGACCAGCCTTTTTTTTCTTCGTGGGAGCAATCTGAAACATATTGTGTGATCTTAGGGGGGAGAAAATGGAGTGGGCCCCAGCCGTACTCGCGATCTAAGCAAAAAGAAGCTTCTACGTGGACTGTCCTTATGAGTGAAAATTATCAGAATTAGAATGCATTTTCAATGATCATTTTCCTTTGTGGGAATGCTTTCACAGAGATATTATGGAAAGTGGTTTGTTTAGGAGAGAAATCAGGTATTTAAGGTTTCCCTTCGAGAATATTGCCTATCCATTTTTAGCATCCTAATTTCAAAATAATGATTTTGCTGATAATAATTAATAATTATCTCCTAGAAATTGAGTTATCTTTCCTCCCTATAACCCATTCCCAGTCACATGAATAGATTTTGGGTTTTGATGCTGACACTGTCCTCTGTTTATGTTAGTCACTTATGTCCTTTGCCCCAGGTTCAATGACCTTTTAGCTAAGTGATTGTTCTATCCTTGATTGTATGAATGACCCTCTTGATTTCAAACTTAAGGGTACAATGTGACCAGACTGTTTTCAGAGTCATCTCTTAGGGATTTGCCATTGGACTCATTTTCAAGTCTCAGATAATTGACACCTACTCTTGTTCATGTAAAGTGACACACACCTCTGCCTGATCCTTCCTGTGACTCCTTCTCCTGACCTTCCTCTGTCTGGCTTGTCCCCAGAGTTCTAGTAATCTCACAAAGAAGAATTCCTACTGTGTGCCACAATTCTGTGGGAAATCCTAGGGGAAGAATCAAGTCTTTGAAACCAAACAGGATTTCTAATTTAGTTATACCCATTTTCATGTGGAAGGTTATTCAGTATCTCTTACCTTAAGTCTCCTCACCTCTAAAGACTGAGTCCATAATGTTGATCTTGTGTGGTGGTTTTGAAGGTAGATTAGCTAATTTCATATAGCAGGTGAATATAAATAGCAGCTCTCAATCTGCCTCTGGGTCGGAGTCATGTCTGTTCTCCTCTCTCCTCTACTCCATTTCTCTCTCTCTGCCTTTCCTCCAGGCCCTGTGCAGTGTAGTGAAGACACAGCCCTCAAACAACTCATAGACTAGTTTGAGAGACAGCAATGCAAATGGATGACTTGAATCTACTTTGTAGATGCCATAAAGCAAAAAGAAGCAGTGACTAGCAAAACTCAGCATTCTCTCCCCACCAGCTAGGCAGGATCTCCTCTCCAAAAGATAAAGACCAGCTTGAGTCCACTTGGGGTCTCCTGTTGAGTGTGTCTTCAATAAAAAAAATTTGATTATGTAAGAATTATGTATTTGTCTTGCATAAGAAACTGCTCAATTTCTCACCCCCAACAAACATCCTCCCAGCTTGTGTGTCCTCTATGTATTTAATGACTCAAATGTTCTTCTGCTGTTTGCCACCTAACCTCTTACCATATGGTTGCTGGTCTCATCCAATGAACATACTTCACTCTGCACCTCATGTCAATAAAGTTCTCTCTAACTGGCTGCAAAGATTACTTTTTCTGTGAGTATAATCCTATAGCCCAAAGTATCTTATGAAGGAAGAACAATATATAGGAGTAGAATGTAAAATTATCGTTTTATATATTCTTATATTCTGGCCCTTGGAGATGTAATTAAGGGAAGTGGGTTAACCCCTTATATTACTTTCTATAAGAAAGGCAGCATGCAATACTATTTGATTTTTGATCAGAATATAAGGTTCCTCTCAACGTGGGCAACGAGAAGAGAGTTGAAAATTTATCTCATGTACAAAGCTAATCTGGAAAATTAAGAATAATCCTCTACCCTTTTTTTTTTCCCTCAGTAACAGAATTTATTCCCGGTGTTAGCAGGAGAGTCACTTCATTTTTCCATTCAACAACTTTAAAGATGCAGTTGCTGGTGGAAATTAAGCCATATTCAGAATAGGGGCCAGTAAGTTTGTTACTATGGTCTGAAACGTAAGCTCCTCACCAAATCCCAATACGAGTGATGTCAGGACCTCAGTTTGCTTACCTTTCCCCATGTTTCATCCCAGAAGAAGTGAGCTTTGTTAGGTCTCCTGGCTCATACCTCAGAGGTACCTCCACCTTATTTTCTCAGACAACAAGCAGGGCATAAAGCAATTTATGGATGTGATTGGTGTCTTAGTTTCCCTTAGAAGGGAAGTACTTTTAATTTTTTGGTGGAAGAAATCTGCCTTTAAGGGAAACATTTTTATGATTATTTATGATTAATAGCATGTTTCACACCCAGGATTATAAGGTCATAAAAAGCAAGTTTGATTCATTTAGGAAAACCAGTAAGAATAGGATGTGGTTTTGCCAAATTGTAATAATTTTCCAAGCACTTTCATAGAGACTATGTTATTTGACTCCCACTGCAGCATGGTGAGGTCAGCAGGGCATTCTAAACTGTAGATGAACCAACTGTGACTCCCCAGAAATGAGGCGGTTTTCCCAAGGTAGCATGTCATGTAGGTAGACCTCGAAGTTAACTTTTTAAACTTGGAATGTTCTACTTTTCCCCCTCTACTGTAGTATGCGTATCTGTACAGTCCCATATCTGTTTGTTACATTATTCAACTAATTTAGTCTTTATAAGACAACCATCCAATAATCTAAACTCAACTATAGTTCTTTCTTCCTAGATTTATCCTACCCAAAATTAGTTTCTTTGTTTATAAACTAGCAAAATTATCTTGGATAAAAATATGCTTTTGGGTAAAAATGTATAAACTACTAAAGAAGTACTATAATTGAGTATGATCTTTGCATTAAGTGCTACTCCAAATAGCTCTGAAATAGCTCTGTTACAGAGAAAGATGCAAGAAAAGCACCATAAATCCATTTGGTTCTTATGTGATATGTAAGATACACCTAACATGTGTACTCAGGTCCTTCAGAGAAACAAGCCACAATTGTGTGCCATATTATTTTTTTTAAAGATTTTATTTGTTTATTTGACAGAAAGAGACAGCGAGAGAGGGAACACAAGCAGGGGCAGAGGCAGAGGGAGAAGCAGGCTTCCCGCGGAGCAGGGAGCCCGATGTGGGGCTCGATCCCAGGACCCTGGGATCATGACCTGAGCCAAAGGCAGACGCTTAACGACTGAGCCACCCAGATGCCCCTAGATCTGTATTATTTATTATAAGGAATTGTCTCACACAGTTTTGGAGGCTGAGAAGTTCCAGGATATGCCATCTGCAAGATCTGCCATCTGCAGGCTGAAGACCCAGGAAAGCTGGTGGTGGAATTCAGTCTGAGTCTAAGGGCTTTAGAACAGAGGAGCCAGTGGTGTATATTCCAGTCCAAGTCTGAAAGCCTAAGAACCAGGAGTGCTGAGGGCAGAAGATCAATGTCCTGATTCAATCAGGCAAGAAGGATCACATCTTGACTTCCTCCACATTTTTGTTCTATCAGGCCTTTAATGGATTGAATGATGTTCACCCACATTGAGGACAACAAACTGCTTTATGAGTCCATTAATTCAAATGTTAATTTCATCCATAAACACTCTTACAGACACAATCATAAATAATGTTTAGCCAAATATCTGGACGTCTTGTGATCCAACCAAGTCGACATATAAAATTAGCCATCACAGTTGGGGAGTCAGTGACTCCATCTAAATGATGTGGAGAGAGGAGCAAAAAGGGAAGCTAGGGATGAGAGGCTACCATAATGATAACTATATTTTTAAATTTTGTATTAAGAAATAACAACTTTTATGAATCAAAGAATTCAGTGTCATGAATTGCCCTAAACAAAAATGGATGCTAATCAGAATTGGTAAGTTGAGTGACAAAGAGGCCCCCTAGTGGTAGGGGTTGCTTCCTAAGAAATAAATCAGCCACAATGACATTAATGGCTGTAGCCCATAATATTGAGTAGAAGTTCTCAGATTTAGAGTGGTCAGAAGCACCTGAAGAGCTTGTCAAAATTTCAGGGTAGAACGCTTTCTTCCTAGTGGTTCTGACTGACTTAGTAGGAGCCAACAATCTGTATTTTAATTCTCTGGGTCATTCTGTTAGAGGTGATGTGAAGACCACACTTTAAGAACTTCTGTTACCTAGGGCAGTCAAATTCATAGAGACAGAAAGTACAATGATGGTTGCCAGTGGCAGGGGAGAGAAGAGTGGGGAGTTCATTTTGAAAGGGTAAAAGTTTCAGTTTGGGAAGATGAAAAATTCTAGAGATGGATGGTGGTGATGGTTGTATAATAATGTGAATGTACTTAATGCCCTTGAACTGTACACTTAAAAATGGCTAAATGGTAAACGATGTTATATATGTTACCACAATAAAAAGGAAAAACAAGAATTTTGAATGCAAATTATAGCTATTCTTTAAAAACATTGGTGTCTCTTTGCTTTCTTGCCAAGTGTTGATAAGGAAAACAGATATGTCCAGTTTAAAATATCATAGGTTGTGTTCAATTATGGATTAATATTTCACAGTAGTTCGTCATTGCTTTATGACTTAGAAAAAATAATGAACTAAATAAAAAATTTATAGCACTTAAATTTTGCTTTATTAAGAGAAAACAGATTTCTTCTTGTATATTCATAGTCTGGCCAAATTAATGGGAGTATGAGAATTAATCACTGAGTCTGCGTTCTTACGATTGTTCCCCTACCTGCTTCTCTAAAATGGGTTTGTCAGATTTTGCCTTATCTTGTGTTTGCGATAAAAATGTGTAGTGATACTCATGCTCTTTTCAGGATAGGGTGTGGGCCAATGTGGGGAAGAGCCTGAACTGCATTATTGCCATGGTGGATAAACTGATTGAAAGAGATGGTGGTGGTGAAGGCGGTGGTGGTGGAAGCAAAGGTGGAGAAAAGGACCCTTCTCTAGTGGACCCCATCATAACTCATCCAAGGGGTAAGGAGTCGTTTTTTCCCAATCACTGACGAGTAAACAAAATGAGAAAGTCATGATAAAATGAGATAGAAAAAGAGGAGTCAACAGTACCTTTGATGAAAGTGCTGATAGCATGCTTTTCCACTGCTCTGGCTTAGATGATAGAAGGCTATTTCTCAAATTGCATCTCACTTGTGTTTTCAGAACTGCTTGCAATGCTCATTTTTTTTTTTCTTTTGCTACACGAAAACCTTCTTGAAAGAAGAACAGGGTTTTCTTTGAAAGACTCTGACATAGTTTAATCTACTTTGACACATTCCTCCAAATTTTTATTAGGAAGCAAAACAAGCATCTGCTCCTAAAACTCCTAGAAACTTCTAGGGATATCAAGACAGAGTATCTCATCATGGTTCCTGAAAAGAATGCAGTATGATAAAATACTTTTTGCCTTATTCTGGGGAATATTTTTGTGAATTATCTCAAAAACATTAAGAAGGTTTGGTTCCATATAAGAAGAGTATGATTGTGCATTATTCCCAAGACATATTAGTAAGTCTCGGTCTTCATGGATGCATGTATACACACACATGGTTACATATGCATGTATGTGTCTCTGTGTGTGTATAGGTAGACACACAGAAGTATGGCTTAGTCAAATTTTTAACTATGGTTGTGTCCCTATAAATGGCTTTTTCGTCAAATTTTTTTTGTTAATTTGATTAATTTTGATGTCAAAAACCCAGACAAATATCTGCATTTCTTTACGGTGATAAGAACTGCTGATTAAAGTTATTCCAGCCCTTTTGGTATCTTAAGTGTTTGGAGGGAATAAACAGTGTTGCCCTACTCTGTTCTTCTGAAATCTGCATTCCCTTTTACTTTAAGAAAATGAGTCAGAAGGAAATATGAACACTTATAAAATTAAATTTATGTTTTCCCGATTTGTTTTCCTGATTTTTTATTACTCACATTTTCATCAGGAGTTTAATTATGTGAAACATCAATCTTTCATTACTTGATTAACAGGAGAACTATTTCTAAATTATGTTTGTAAACTATGGCTTTCTAAAGTTTTCTTACGGTAGATGGTCCTCATCTTCCATAGTACATTCACATGGGAAAGTTTATACTAATATTCATTATGCTTATACCTACTTGGTTTAACTATATATGGGGATCTTTTTTTAACAATATCAGTTTTATTAGTTAATGGATCTAATGTCAGTTAGATTCTATGTCAGCCCCATAACTTTTACATGAATCAAAGTGAAAGCTTGTCATAACTTACATCATAAAGAAGTAGGATACTTCAGTTTTCTTTCATTGAACATTTATTGACTATCATCTGTAAGCCAGACACTGTGCTGAGCTCTGGAAAATGAGGTAAGGAAGCAGAATCTATTTTAGTGGCTTGTTCTGTGCATTGATGGGTTTTCAAGGCATAATACTTTTTTAGCAGAACTAAGATGAGGGGTACTGAATTTTGCCACATTTGTTTTGATGTTGCCCAAAACTTCTCATTGACAAAGAGTTCCAGAATATTTGAAGTTATATATTTTACCTGTATCTTGTATTGTATCAGAAGGTTGGATCTGTGGGACCAAAATTACATTTTAAAAAGTAAAACTATTTGGTAGGTAAATATTTGGTGAGATTAGGTGAATCACTTTCATTTGAATGTGAGGCATTGTTTGAATATAGTCTAAAACCAGGTAGAAGCTGCTGTCAATGTAGAATTCACAACTAGATGGACTTTGTGGATGGTTCAAGTCTAATTACAGCATAGTGCCCTCTAAGTGATTTTATTTTCAATTTATGATCCATATTTATTTCATCCATTCTTTTTTATGTTATAAACATCATCAGGCGATAAAACAATTTAAATGTGCAAAATAAAATATATACCTTAGTCTAATAATGATTTAACATCATATTGTCAAATTATTTCAAAGTTGAAGTTTTGTTAACATTTTACATGTTAGACAATTGTGTTTAGAGTGCATGTTTTGGAGAGGACATTGGTACCTAAAAGAAGATGCATAACACATGCAAATAGATGTTTTACAGATGGACCTGTGCTCAAGTATACTTCAAATAGATTATGGATGCTGCATAGTTGGAGTGAGATTGATTAGCTCAATTATTTAATAATAATTTACTCTTATTATGTAATAATGTATTAATAAAATAATTATTATGGTTGTTATAGTCTTCTTCTTAAAGTTAGGAAAAAGCATTTTCAGTTTCTACCCTGACTTTTGTCACATAAAGCAAAGCAGTAGAGAAATTAATAGTGGTTTTTGGTGCTGATATAAAGCAAACGAATAACCAAAAGTCATGTATTTACCTACCCTATCTCCCAAACTATTTCAGATAAAGATATTTGAGATACACATTGTATCCCAATTTACCTGTAGTTTTAAATTTTATTAGAAAAAAATAATTAGAAAATTTGCAAAGAAAAACAAATAGGATTATGTATGATTTTTATTTTTTTATTTCAATCAGACATAAACATTTTTAACATACCCTATGTTTACACACACACACACGCGTGCGCGCACACACACACACACACACTGTAACCAAACTGGAGTACACATTGTAAATATAGATGTACTATAATGATATCCTGCATATCATTATATTATGGATATTTCCTGAGAAGCATTTTCTGGAAATGAGATTATAATGACTGTAAACTAATTCGTCAAAAGAGAAATCACTATTTTAGAAATGTAATTATTATAATCTCACTGCATTAACACATAACACATCTTTGAATGCTGAAGTCTTCTACTACATCTCTGATGTTTTCCCCTAAGTTTGATTGCTGGAAGTGGAATTATTTTATAAGGAAGAGTTATCCCTTCTCCCACGTATGCATTTTTACAGTTACCTATTTAGATCAGTGTGGACTCATGAATACATATGCTATTCTTTAGTTTATAATCTAAGAATATTATTATAATATTTATTTGAGGCTCAAACTATTCTGGAGTTAGCCATTAGGAGCTCTTTCAGGTGGGTTTCAGTGGCCTTCTAACAGATTGCCCCCCCCCATAGGCTAGTTACTCCCTTATTTTCTTTCTTACTTACTCCCTTCTTTTTTTTTTTTTAAGATTTTATTTATTTGTCAGAGAGAGAGAAAGAGCACGAGCAAGGGGAGCGGGAGAAGGAGAAGCAGACTCCCTGCTGAGCAGGGAGCCCAGTGTGGGACTCGATCCCAGAACCCCGGGATCGTAACCTGAGCTGAAGGCAGATGCTTAGCCCTCTGAGCCACCCAGGTGCCCCTCCTTTCCTTTTTTTACTCACTCCCTTTCCTTCTAGCACAATGAGGTAGACTAGTTTCAGCTGTCATTTCCCCTGCCCAAGCCCTAGGTTAAGCCATTTTCCAAAGAACTCTGGTTTCTTCTACTAGGGAATAGTACGTGGAAACCAACCAATGGGTAGGAACATTTTGATGGGTTTTTTTAGCAATAGGTACTCTGACCAGCAGTATCTACAAGCACCCTTTTAACCAGTCTTCCCAGCCTTAAACATTTTCCCTGATTTCATGCCAGTTTATGTGGAAGACATCATATTGTAATCTGTAATTTATTGTAACTTTTATTTGTATTTTCTTGTAATTTATCTAGCTATTAGTGAAGTTTGACATTATATGACATAATATTGTATTTCAAAATATTATTTTTTGTAATAAAATGCATTTCTTCAGTAGCTCCAGTTTTATCCCCAGCTCATGGCTGGGATGGAAAAACCATTTAATTCTTTTCTTCTTACAATTAATAAATGAATTGATTCAGTGAATGACTGAGTCATCCAGAATTTATTCAAATGTATGATGTCACAAATGCTATGCATTTGTTACTACATCATTTATTAGTGATTCTTTCTCTCATGTTATATCAGTTTTATTTTTTTTCTTTCTATATAAGTTCTGCAATTTTTTTTTCTAGAGAGAGAGAGTGAGAGTGCAAGTGGGGGAGGAAGGGCAGAAGGAGAGGGAGAGAGAATCTTAAGCAGCCTCCATGCCCAGCATGAGCCCTCCTTGGAGCTTAGTGTCACAACCCTGAGATCATGACCTGAGCCAAAATCAAGAGTCGGGCATTTAACTCACTGAGACACCCAGGCACCCCATGTCCTCCAAATATTTTTAATCAACTTCTGGAATTTTTATTCTGTTCATATGGTTTTGACTATTATGTTTTATATTGGGATATATTTTGAAATCTTATAGGGTAAGTCAACCCTATGACGGTCAGTTTTTGCTTTCTTCATCACCATCTTTTATTTTTACATTTTAGTTGTAATTCCTGTTTGTTTTGCTGGCATATATATATATATATATCATGGCTAAACAGATGGTCTTCTGAATTATTGCTACCTTTTTCCATTTTTTTAATGTTTATAACCTGCAGATTTTTTTTCAAGTTGCACATTTTTTCTTTTACAGTGTATTTATTTAATAATGTTTTAAATCTGTAGTTTTGAAGGCTTTTTGTTTGTTTTAGATCCAGGATTTAACAAAATATCTTCATAAATCTCTTTTCAGGACTAATATAAATAGTGCTGATGGAAGTAAAGCATTCTCTGCTGTTCTGAACACAAACAGTAGAATACCTTTTCAAACGTTCATGGCTTTTATATATTTATATGTTTTCTTAATGAACAAGATTTTTTTCTTTTACTTCCCTACACTTAAACATACTTAAAAGCATCTACTATATGCACGGGACCACATGCCTTCAATTTCATAACAAACTGAAGACTCAAAGATAAAATCAGTGAATATTAGAATCTTAGATTTTAATGTGCCCTTAAACATTATGTAATTAAACCTCCTAAATTGTCTTAAGAAGCTTACCTATAGTATCTCTGCCAGTTTTCACCTAGCCTGTGGTACACATCTCCACTGATAGAAAACCATTTTTTATTTTCTAGAATGGCATATTCCAGATGTTGATCTAAATATGTTTCCTTTAATTTTACCCACTGGCCCACATCTAATTCTATGCAAT